ATGGTTAGTTTTCTTAGCTTATGCTTCACAATGTACACAGTTTTGCCAATTGTTGTAATGTCAGTATGGGAAATGTAATATGCCAAATACAGCTACTGTATTTAGCAACTGTTCTAGTAAAGCATTCTCCAGCTGTCAGGGAGTCACAATCCATAGTCTTAAAAAGATGTTTCTGTCATCACTTTCATTAGCTTCAGATTATATGTGTCATTTGTTGGTTTTGGGTGTAAACTGGTGTGGGCAAATGTTTTTCTCAAAATGTATTTTTTTTTCAGACACGCAATTCCCTAGATATTAATTTTATTCCAGAAATTCAGAATCCACAAATAATTTTGTATTTTAACTACATTATTTCATTTATTTCATCTATTATGTATTATTATCATCTCTTATTTCATCTATCTTATTTTAATTTCTAATGCCAGAGTCCATCTGTGACTATTAAAGATGTAGAGAGGTTTGTTTGCCCTATATCATTTCCTAGTTCCCCCTAAGCATGTGCTTAATGGAGAGCTACAGCAGAGGACTGGGAAAGCCTTAAACTGTTGGGGAAATTGCAACAGAGAGTCTGTTTTCATTAAATTGAGAGCCCGAGTGACTGATTAATGTACATGCAATGAACTTAATAGATTTGAAGCAGTTTGCATTGTAAACACAGATGAACTAATGTCATACAACAGTAAAAAGGAGAAAATCTTTATTAAAAGATCCTGCAACACACAAATACATAAGAAATAGACTGTAATCCTAGCTACTCAGGAGGCTGAGGCAAGAGAATTGCCTGAACCCAGGAGGCGGAGGTTGCGGTGAGCCGAGATGGCGCCATTGCACTCCAGCCTGGGTAACAAGAGCGAAACTCCGTCTCAAAAAAAAAGAAAAAAAAAAAGAAAAAAAAAAGAAAGAAATAGACTTTAACCCAGAGCTTTCTCATTTACAAGGGCAAAAGAGAAAAACAGGACAGTTACTTCACTTTAATTGTTTAGAACAATGACTCCTAAATTAGTACTCCCTAAGGAAAGTTAAAGACAAGTAACCCGGACCTGGGCACCTCTCATCCCTGAATCAAACAAAGCAGCTCAATGTTCACTTGTTTTCCATATTAGACTAGTTGGTAAATGCTTAATAGCACTGGTGAGGGGGAGAGTAGGTTTAGATTGTAGTGCTTGAGACTTCTGTGGTGTAAATGTACATACTATGTCCAATTTCAAGATATCAACATGACATAACTGATCATAATGTTGGGAAGCGATGCGCGCCGTTGACTCTCTTGAGGTAAATACCTGTTTAGATAACTGGTTGTCTTCTTCAGTGCTTCTACTGTGCAAATTACAATTAATTACCAATGATAAGTTGATCACTCCAAGTGTATCTCTGGCTTCTCTTTCTCTTCTTAGCCTTTAGAATCCTTTTCTAATTACATATTAGATACCTTTATTTTCAGGTTCAGCAGACAATTTATACTCAGTATGTTCAAAACCAAATTCACTCTCCCATATACACACATATGCTCCTGAATTCCCTCTCTCTTAATGGCATCATTTTCTGCCCAATCATTGACAAGGAAACATGGAAGTTATCCTGTGTTTTAGCTTCCACATCAGTTGACCATTGAAGACTATTTATTTTACTCACAAAATACTTGTCAAATCAATCCTATTCTCTCCTTATCTGTACACCTTTAGTTCAGACCTTCGTTTTTGTATTCTAATAATATCCCTACTGGTTTTACCTTTTCCCATTCATTTCCAAATTTTTATGAGTTATTTTACCAAATATGGTTTGTATAACAAAACACTCATTGAAAACTATTCAGTGAAAACCCATGGACCTCACACACACTAAAATGTTTTGCCAGTTTGCTTCCAGCCTATTTTTTCATTTTTATCTGCCAACGAATCCCCCACACTAAATAAAGATGTTAAAAAATGATTTCAGTTCCTTTTCAACGACAAACTTAAGACGGATATCACAAATTAATCACAGCCAAGCTTTCCAGTGGAACAAAGATTCAGCTTCAGAAATCTCAACAATTAACCATGGCTTTCAAGCAGCTGTCTGGTCTATCCAGTGCCAAATGCAATGAATTGGTCTTCATTCATTATTTTGGAATGACATATGAGATTAAGGGGTCAGTCCAGTAGCATTTACTATCCTTTACTGAGCATATAATATGTTCTAGGAATTGCGCTACAGATTTTATCTTAAAAATTGTATCTCATTTAGTTCTCACAACAAATCTGTGAGGACCTGTATTCGATAAATACTAATTCTTCTTCTTCTTTTTTTTTTTTTAAAGTTTGATTGGTAAAGATGGCTTTTATTCATTTGGGGGAGTTAAAAAAATACAGTTTACATGAGATATGTGGAAAGAGGATACAAATCTATTAAAATATTTTTTTCAGAATATTTCATATAGGGTTAATCAATCAAAAGGACCCCTTTATTGATTTTCCTGACTAGTGAAATTTGCGCTAATGTGGGTACACCAAGTTGTGCTTCTTATTAAGTTATCACTGCAATAACAAACACCTAGGGATGGACACAGCACTCCATCCAAAAACCATGTGAACTCATTACCAAATTTTTATTATTGCTAGTATGTTGGTTGCTACATAACAGATATGAAAAAAATACAATGTAATCACAATAAGAACAATGTCAGAATTTCATGTCATCATTAGTAGAGCTACTGGCTGTAGCAAAAATATTTTAAATTATCAAAGCTAACCTAAAATCTTCACAGGTACAATATGTAGTGGTAAGCATTTAACTTTAAACAGCACAGCAGATTGTAAAAGTCACCCTATGTCATAAGAAGTATATACAAATAACTGTTTATGGTTCTACATATCTGAAAGATGTGCATGCTGCACTAAATGTTTAATGTGTCCTTGTCCAAAGGGAAATACAATATTAATTTTGTTTTGAGGACAAGTTGACTCCATAAAAAAATAGGTAACTTAGCCAAATATAAAAAGTTTCAGAAAATTCTGTTTCCAAGGTGGTGGGATTTTTAGGAAACTTATCTTTCTCAGGAACATAATGTCAAAAAACACTCTATAAATTCATCAAAGTTTAGTGATGAAGAGAAACAATAAATATTATGCAGTTTAGTTGGGGATACTTTGGAAGTGAATGCTGAAGATTAAAATTCAGAGAAGACCACAACCACATAACAGTTCACAGTTTCAGCTGAATGAAAAATTTTTTAAAAGCACATCCAATTTCTTCAAACAATTTGTTTCTTCTAAGATTTCAGGTTTAATTTTGTTTATCCCATGACGGGTAGTTCATAACACCAGGAAAAGAAAGGAAAAAAATATTTTATTTGCATTGTTCATATTTTTAATATTAATGTACATATCTAAGAATATTTGCTTCAGAGAGCTTTCATTCTACTTTTGTTTTATGTGTAATTAAAATTCAAGAAGATCTGACATCCCAAATATTTTCTTAATGTTTTTCTGTAAATGATCAGCAGAAAACACAAAATAAAGTGATCCTCCCACCTCAGTCTCCCAAGTAGCTGGTACTACAGGAGCGTGCCACCACACTCAGCTATTTGTTTATTTTTCATAGAGATAGCCTTTCACTATGTTGCATATGCGCCATCTATCATATTTTTTATTAACTAATTCTAACCTTAATAGTTTCTTGTTTTTAGATTTACCTCCAATTTTCCCATCCCATCTTAAATACTACCATAAACTATTGTGAAAACTCTTTTCTAAATCCACATCACAAGTTCCATCTCAAGAACCTATAATTTCTCCTGGTTCATCAGATCAATTTTAAATATCAGTCCTAAGATAACCCTATCAACTAATCTAACTTTGTTTTCTTACCTAATTATATTTTCCCTGTTCCCTAACACATACCTTCCACTTCAATCAGACTAATTTTCTTCATTTCCTCAATATGTCAGATTAATACTTCTCATTCTATCATGCTTAATTAGAAAATCTACTTGTCACTTACTTAAATTGTACCCATTCTACAAGATCCATTTCATAAAGTACTTGCTTGTGCCATATATTCTTCACAGTAACTTATATTTTATCTTGTATTGTTTATGACATTTAATCAATAAGCCATGTTTCTCACATAATTGAAGAATAGGCTGGTAAAATCTTAAGTGCTTAATCACTGTGTGTTGAATTGAGCTATTTTATTTATATACTTAACTTGAATTTATATGCTTGAATATTGTACTGTTGATGTTAAAAATTTTAAAAATCACAGTTGTATTATTTTATATTATTTATTTGGTCACTTCCAAGTTTTCTCAGCTACAGAGCCCACAAGGTCGAGACCACAGTGAGCTGTGTTTGTGCCACTGCACTCTCGTCCAGGCAACAGAGTAAGACCCTGTGTCAAAAATAAATAAAAATAAATGACAGATGAATCATGAAAACTTTATTCCACCATATGATGGAGTTTTACACATGTGGAAGTAAATGAATAAACTTTCAGGCACAAAGTCCTGGAAAATTTGATGCAGTTTATTCTGTCCAATATATAAAATAACCTAAGAAAGTAATGAGTACTTAGTGTAATTCTCCTATTTTCTGAGTTCACCTATTAAGGAAAGCTGAAGGGTGTTTTCATAGTCAAGATTCAAGTGAATGTAAGTCCCGAGGGATGAAAACTAAAGTATATATACACATATATGTTTTTAGGAGACTTTCTTAGGAGATACACACACATACACATCCCTCCTAAGAAAGTCTCAAGGAAAACAAATGTCACTGGGATGAGCCCTTTAGGAGACGCAGAATAAAAGACTGATCACAAATTGAAAGGCCAAAGAAGCTGCCACAGACAGAAATAGAGGCAACAGCCAGGAGCCAGGCTGAAACAGGAGGGCAACAAATCAAGTCAGGAAATAATTGCTATGAAGTACACTGGTGCCTTAATAGTGGCTGAATATGTGGGCTAGTTGAAAGGGGAAAAAGTCTCTTGATTCCATAGATACAACAACACATACTTCTAAAAGGAAATGCATTAAAAAGGGGAAGGAGAATTATTTTATTCCTTTAGAAAGTGTAAGATCAAAAGAGCAAAGAGCAACATTTCTCCAAATCTGCTCAAAATCTTGCCAGACATGGCATCATGTCAGTCTACTTCCACTTACAAAATTAGCCATAGTGCTTCATAGTGCTTCTAATTATGACCACTGCAAAAAAAAAAAAAAAAAAAATCGTAACAATCCTAATAAAATGTAAAATTGAAGTGAAAACTATTCATTTATACAACAGGTATCATACAAACTCACATTCTTAGAACTGGAAATTTATAACATCTAGATACCAATCGAATATGCAATTGTTTCTTCTGCACTATTTGCCCAGGAGAACCAATACTTCACAAAATATGTTTAGACAATATTAGCCGAGCAAAATTAATGACAAGAGAATGCCATGAGGTAATTTTGACAGTTGCTTTTCATATCATGAATACCCATCTTTCAAAAGAGGAAGCAATATTAAGTATGCTTAATATGGTTTAATCCTCTCAAAGACTTTGTAAGGTATGAATGAAATTTGCACATGTGTGTCAATTAGGTTTGAATACAGAAAACAGTAAGTTTCAGGTATTTTCAGAAAACAGGGATTTAAAACAGGGAATAAAATGCTAACCAAATCTCTAGAAAGGCTGGCGCGAGAGGCTCTAGGCTAGGAATTCAGAATGTTTCCTGAACACTGTAGAACTGATTTATTAGAGAACTATGACCTCTGGTACAATAAGAAAAGTGGAGACTCCAGAAGTCACTACAAAATTTACTGACTTCAAAAACACACCACTGTAGCTACAATTGTGAGATCAGGGAGCCATTGCTGCTGACACCACAACAGCCTCTCAAACCCTAGAACTTGGATGCTGGAACCCATCACAGAAAAATCGTTTCCACAATCCCACTTATTAGCAGAAAACAATGGAAGCAGCAGGAGGATGACCTCCACTTGACTTCTGCCTCCTAATCTCAACAAGTGCATCTAATTGGATGAAACTTACTTACATTTGGAAGTTTGGTGGCACAGGAATTTGGGATATGCAGTTTTTAGCTTTCTAGCTGCTGTAGTATAGAAATACACAGTACGAAAAAGTGCAAATGGTTGTCAGTTGGCCATATCCACCATACTGAGATTCAAAGGTTTTAGACATTTCTTATCCAAGGTCACAGAACTTGTGAGTGCTAGAGCAACAAACTTGAATTCAAAGATTTTGGCCACTTGCCCAGTGCTCTTTCCACTACATCAGTCTACAGCACTGATTACTCTCTGAAGACATTGGCCAAAGGAGACATATTTTCAAATCTTGTGCTAATTATATTTTTCAGTGAAGCATTAATTCAGGCATCTGTGAACACTGTTACCTTTTAGTCTTATGTCAAACCTAGTTCTTCTTCCAAATTCAGACTTAATCTTATTTTACAGTAATTACAGTTAAACCAACACTGCTAGGGTTTAATACCTTTGAGTATTTTTCTCAGCAGGCTTGCTGCTTAATCCATTTAATGTCAGAACAACACAAACCTTCTTATTAAAATGGGGGAAAGGACATTATTAGAGACTGCATTAGTGGTTTTTTTTTTCTTTTGGGTAAAACCCACCAATATGGCAAGATTTGCATCTTATTTTTATTTTGTTTTCTGCTGACCATATGCAGAAAAACATTAAAAAATGAAAGATTTCAGATGTTAAATCCTCTTGAATTCTAATAACACATAAAAGTAGAATGAAAGCTCTCTGAAGCAAATCTTCCAGCAAATCTAGGAAGATTTGTACTTTAATATTAAAAATATGAACTATGTGAATAAAATATTTGGAAAAAATCGAAAAAATATAATGCATCAGTGATATCTCATTCATATTAATCAAATCATCACTTTCAAATGCACTTGAAAATAATTTCGGGAATGTATTTTAAAATGCATATAGAATGACCTAAGCACAAAAAATCCTAACATATACCTTAAAAGAAAAATATAAATGAGTACTTAATACTTCCGCTTAGACTTAAGCAACAGCACTATATTAAAATTAAAGAGGTGATTAAATTCATATAAATTAATTGAAGGTAGATATCATTATTATAGTTACAAGAGATTTGTGTTCTTTAAACAAGGAAATGATTATTGTCCAGAAGTTGTTAGATCAAGTGGATCTAGTTTTGTGCTAACAGCATATAGAAAAGAATATAATAAACAACGTATGTGATTGTTAAGGATCAAATAAAGTTATCTGAGTCTTGTGTAGGTTAGATTACATCAGTTTCACAGATTATTTATCTCCACATATTAATTAGATACAGAAGGTTAACTCTGTTAGAGTGGATACATTTTTAAATCAAAAGGAACTCTTGTATTCAGCATACAAAGCAGTAAAGGCTGTGATTAATCTCAAGAGAAGTTTGAAGTGCTTACTAGAGAAAACAATCGATCCTGAGATTTTTCTGAACATTTCTATCTGTTACAGGAATCCATCTTTTTGTAAAAGACCATTTTCACTCCTGAAAGTCATTATGTACTCTCTCTGTGTGTGTGCATATATATACACGTGTGTATATTATATGTAGAGATGTATACGTGTATATATTATAGAGGTGTGTGTCTGTGTATATATATATAGTATATATATACACACACACACAGATATACCCCCCATTTATGTGTGTATATTATACACACACACACACACACACACACACACACACCTCTATATATAATATACACACATATAAATGTTGGGGGGTATATTAGGGAGTGAGAGATCACACAAGAAGGCTTTTTCCTTTGCTTTTTACATAGGAAACTAAACCAATAGTTCAGTTTAACTTCTAAATTCATTCAGATTAGAAAGAAAAAAAGTCAAAAATTGTAATAGCATATTCTTTTTTTGTTGAAGAATTTTTCACATTAAAGTCAGTAGTATTCTTTGTTAAGTGGACTAGAGAGTATAACTTAAAAAATATATCCGTATCTCAGTTATCCCACATATTTAGTATCCTGTAAGAAATGACGAAAGACCAAAAGTTGTAAACTACAGAAGTTGAAGGAAGCTTTATACTTTTATATATACATATATATTATTTAATATACATATGTTTGTGTGTGTGTTCATTCTTTCTTAAAACTTGCTTTTTAAACAGACTTATGTTGGACATATAGTTCAATGTCAAAGACAGTGCTTTTCATTATGCTTTAGGTAAAATAATGAGGTCTAGATGACTCTAGTAAGAGCTAATTGGAAAATGTTAACAATTGACACATCATCTTTTCTGTTTTTTCTTTTTTGACTATGATTAAAAGCATGTGTAGAAAATATGGAAATCAAGTATTAAATCATGGGGACAGATATTTACCATCTATTTTTTTCTGAGTATAATATATAGTAATATAGAATTCAGAAATTAGTGGCTTAAATCAATGCCATTATTACCAAATTAACCATTATTATTCCAGTCATTTACTGAGCTGTATAGTTTGCAAATAAAACTTAAATTGCCACTTGAGAGACTTGACCCTTAAGAGGTAATGACATAAAGTGCTCAGTTTTGATAAGTATATTTCACTTTGTGCACTGATGTATTTTCCTCATCTTCTTGAGAGGACACTAAAAGATAAGAAAAGGGCTATTAAGTTACAGTTATTAAGTACTATTTCTTTTTGTTATTGAAAAAATATCATCTTTAGGTTGACTGATAATGGTATTTCTTTTAGAAGGACTGAGTGTTTATGTGCCTAAAAACCACAGCCTACTTTATAATTGGCTAATACCTTCAGTATGAACAAACTTTTTAAGAATAACTGCTGTATGTGAGGCTATTTCTTTTATTAATATTTCATGTAGGGCATGTTTATAAATGAGAAAATTCTATCAAAATGTCAACCTTTTTATACCCTAAAATAGGTAAATACTAATTAAAACCAAATGGTCTGGGGGATTGAATTACCCTATACTGACCTCCATTTTTCTCATCATCTTGTTAATGCAGTTCTTACTGAAATTAACATTTGTCTGAACTGCTTAAGAGTAACAAAAAAAATCAAAGTTTGCATTTTATATCTTTCATTTACTTTCCATATATAGTCAAAGCACTCTAGCAGGATTCAGACTGGTATTTTTACTAACATAGATGTATGCAGATTTTTAAAAAATATATTTTATAGGGGAAATTTGCTTCAAAGAATCAGACATACAAAAATCTGGCATAAATATGACCACTCACAAAATGTGTTTAAATAATATAGAAAAATACAACACAAATACGTAATGAATATTTGAAAACTCTGGTTTCTGAAGAGTTTAGATAGGGATTGTTTACATTATCATCTACTTGGTATTTCTTTAAATACCAGTGTATTCCAAAATAATTATTTATTTCACATGGTTTTCTCTGAAACATACTTGCTTTATGTAATTCTTTAAAGACTCAGATAACCAGAATGAATTCAACCTAAAGCCAGGATTTAAAGAATGTAAGAGATTTGCCCAAGATCTGGGTCTATACTGAATCCTTGCTACTCATTTCCATCAGAAACCCTTGCCTCTGTAAAGGCAGATGGGAGCTCCACCTATATTCAGGCAGGAAAACCACTCAATTAAAGTTTAAAGTTTTACCAGGAAAATTCTTACTGCTTGCTTTAGGAGGGAAGGGTGGAGAACATTCTGTTTTACAGGACACTCCACCCTCCACTATATCCCCTTGATTAATTATGTAATCAGATCTCCTTCATCAACTTACCAATCAGGTAATGGCAGAATATTTCTGATGCTTGGTATGGGGTCTGAGTGAGGACAGTCCTAAGAATATTACTTATAGCACCTGTTTTGCATAGCATTAATGTGAAAAGATTTAACTTGCAGTACAAATTAACATTTTTTCCAAGTTTTTTTTTTTTTTTTTTTTTTTAAAAACCATTATTTTAGCATGTAAGCCTTATGGATATAACTCCTGTTCTACTGATACACTATAAAGTCTTAGAAAAGTCAGTGGTTATATACAAGGAAGTGGATAAAGGAGAAATTTCAAATGCCTAAGAACCAGAAAAAAGATATTCATATGGTATTAGAAACTATTAGTATTTTAGTATAAATAACTTGCAGTTAATAAAAATTAGCTAAATTCTTGAAATGCACAAGTAACTAAACCTGTTGTCCAGGCCAGAGAGGCCATACAATGAAGATTTGGGATTCTAATGTTGTTCTTTGCAGAAACTTTGAGTCTTTTTACATTTATCTTACATCCTTTAGTATCTAGACTTAGAGTAAGGTCTAAAGCTTTATCTTATGTAAAAGCTGGGTGCCGAATATGTCTGTCCTGACCTCCCATGGAAACAGTTATCAGGCTTCAGATAATTATTTTGTCTCTCAATTTTTTAACTTGAAAGTACATGGCTATTTATTTTTGCTCTTATTTTTTCTTTTTGTTATGCAATTTTTCATGATATGGTAAGGTTGAAAGAATACCACAAATGTTTGTATACCTTTCAGATTTGTGTGTGTGTGTGTGTGTGTGTGTGTGTGTGTGTGTGTGTGTTGTGTGTATATATATATATATATATATATATATATATATGTTGCAGCATGCATTTCCTGAGAATATTAGGATCTTCTCTTACCTAACCACAATACCTCTATCACCTGTAAAATCCCAATTCCAGGACACAGCCTAGATAAATTAAATAAAAATCTTTGTAGTGGAGCCAAAGAATCAGTAATTTTTACAGCTCCCAAGTGATTACAATATGCAACAAATGTTGAGAACCACTGTCTACCCATCAACTAAATTTGTTAAACATTTTCAGTAAAGAATACATTTTGTTTCTTAATAAGAATGATAGCCTTTTAAAATTTAGCAAATCTAAATTACAGATTTTAGGCAAGAGTTTTCTAATAATTTACATTTCCTTAAGCTGTTCTTATCAAATTAATATTTTATTTGTTAAATGTATTTTATCTTAATTTCAGTTTCTTCTGTATCACGATTTGAAATGCAGAAAATATGTATTGTTATGTAGATTCCAAATATATTTATCTCCAAAGTTAAATGGATTTTAGTAAAAATGATATTTAAACATATGTTTTAATAAAATGTTTAATAAATTAGATAGAAATCTTAGCATATGAAACAAAGTTTTTTCATAACCTTCCACATAATCGAATTTTAAATTAGGAGAAATAAAGGTCCAGAAAGAAAAAAATCAAAATCCAAACTTACTGAATGTTAACATTTAATAGCTAATGTACTTTCACGTCTTAAAAATCTAAATGTTTCTTAGAACAAAGCATTATCCATAAGTGAATAATTTTGAATAACAAATTATTCCTATATTGTAGTTTTTGTCAGAATTAAGATTAGCATTATCCTAAAACACATTTCTGAAAATTTTCAACACCTATTCATTACTTGTCTGTGGCTTGACACTGTTGTATCCAAGAAAGTAAAGAAGACATTAAGTATTTAAAAACAGCCCTGAGATATCTATGTCTGTTCTTCAGTGTCAGGAGTAAAAGCAAGCAATGTGTAAACTGATGATTTTTAATAAATGAATTAGAACAGTTCAAAGTGAGATAAGTTATACATTTTACACTGAAGTAGAAGTCACAAGATCCAGAATCTAGGCTATGATTAGCAGAGCACTTGATCTCCCTGGGCCTGAAGTTTCTCACCTGTTAAATGAAGGATTTAGCTCTGCCAAAGGTCTCAAACCTTCTCAGTTCACAGCATGCCTAGTGTCTCGGTAATGTTTTCATGGTATTGCAAGTTACAAGAAACACCTAGCAGTTTCATTTATTAAACAGTTAACTCCAAACTTATGTGTGTCTGTCCTAACAACTTAGTAGCTATTTAAAAACTAATGCACATTAACATTTTTCATTCTTAATGGGATGTGCACATCTATCTGTTGGGCACTTTACAACTTCTTAAACCTTGGAATAAACTTGGAAACCACTACCCTCATTTCCTGTTCTACAGTAATTTTCCCATAATCCCTGTTTTATTACAGAAATTTACAAAAAACAAACAAACAAACAAAAAAAAAACAGCCTCACAAAGATATGATGTTGTCAAAAGGAATAAATTACAATTTAATGTAGAAGTTATGAACTACCTCAAGATAGTGATTTGTATGGTGTCTGACTGATGTCACTCTGTTGGCCTTGAAAATTTAAAATATCCCATGGTAGTGCCCCTGTGAGTTTGTTGTGGCACTCCTAGGATGTCTCAGTGTATAGTTTAGGAAGCATGGAGTACCCTCTGTAAAATATTTCATACAGCTACAATATGTACTGTAAACTGTAAAAGCAGGGTATGAGTGAAATAGATAATTCTGAGGGCCTGAAGTAAGAAGCTGCAGAATTGAAGAGGAGATAAAAAGTGATAAATGTTCAGTCTGCATGAAATACCCCTTCCTCCCCGGTCACCTATAAAATGCCTACCCAAGCCTCAAAACTCAGCTCAAGCTCTCTGGATGACCTTCCCTTACCAAGTCAAATCCACCTATTATACATTCTCAGAGTATTCATTTCACAGTACTTGTCCCAGTTGTAATTATACATTCATTTGTGTAACTATCTTATTGATTCTTGTCTTCCTCATTAGAATGTAAGCTCCAAGAGGAAAGAACATGTCTGATATATAACTACTGTAACCCACAGTATCTGGTATATTACAGGGGGTAAAATCTTGCTTACTGAAATGAACTGTGACAGATAGGTTTAGCATTCATTTTGATTATTTTCCTTTATTCAAGAACAGCTGATATTTATAATGGCATTCCTAAAACATTTTTCTCATACTATTTCACAGGAGAAAGAAATCCATACACATACAGCTGCATCTGAAACCTCAGAAAGTAAGCTCAACTCAATTGATTAAGAGGATGTTCTCTGGATAAGGTAATCAAATGTTCACCAACTTATAGTCGAGTTAATTGTTATGAGAAAAAAAATCATGTAACTACAAAAAAGAAAACTGCTCACAAAAAAATTTTTTTAACTCTTAGCAGATGGCCACAAACCATACTTTGAGAACCATGTTCCACAGTGGCAATATAGGAAGTTTCTAGATAACGGCAGCTCATTTTTGTAAAATGGCATTACACTACACTGGTTTTATTCACATACTTGCAAAACTGTTAACGGAAGTTCATGTAACTATTAAAATGAATTCTGGGAATTGTATTGCTATTCCATTTTAATCTCAATTATGTAAAGACCTATTAACTAAGACTTTATGTAACATATGTAACATAATACAGTATGATATGACTTCTGGATAATGAAAATAATCCTAAAGTTAAACATAAAAAATAAGGGTTTGAAAGACAAAATAAGATACAAAATGACTGTACCAAATAGGTAACAACCTTAAAAAGGGAAGGATTTTTAAAAATTACTAAATTAAGATTGGGTCACTGGATTTAGTACATCTCTTTTCTGAAGAGGAATTATAAGCTACAGAATCAATAAATTATGTTCTGATATGAATTTTTCACCCTTAAAGTTCCTAGCTAGAAGTAAATTATTCTTTTCCATTTATACGTTTTAGATATGAGTAAGTATAGAAAATGAAGAAATGAAAGAGAAGGGAAAATACAGATGGTTGATTCTGTCTCTGCAATTGCTAATTCATGAACACCAACGTACACTGTCTTCTTTGGGAATTTGTTTCATCTTTTCCTTAAACTGAAAGCTGGCTTGCTGAAGCTATGACTTCCCTATAAACTCTCCCAAATATTGCCTAATTATTTTCTCTTATCACACATCAAGGATGTAAGGTGGATGTCCACCTACTTCCTTGTTGCCACTTCCCAGATCACTTTTACTTTATGCTCTTCTAAAATTAAAACAAAGATCATCGACCACAAATCACACTTGTTCTTTTGTAGCTCATGCTAGAATACCCTTTGTCAAATCTCCTTCATCATTCTGATCCAAAATTCAGTAACCTATTTCATCTTACCCCATCCTTCTTTTCTCCAGCTAGTAGACAGCTGCTCCTCAAACTTTACAAACATTTGAATCACCTGGAAGTTCTTGTGAACTTCAGGTTCTGAATTAGTAAGGACACCCAGAGTCTGCATTTCTTTTAACTCCCATGAGAAGCTGTGGAATACTCTGAACGGCAAAGCACTAGAAGTGCTGTTTCTGTTGCTATCTAATGTATTCGTCCTAATCTCCCATTTATGCTTTGGAACTCATTCTCTCCTGCCTTCACTATGTTAATATCTATCATTCCTTTACTGTTCTCTTGGGTTCCCTACACAGTTTATCTCCACCTGCTCTCAGCTGCTCAGTATTGCCCATTTGAAAAACTAAACTGGCCGGGCAAGGTGTCTGACGCCTGTAATCCCAGCACTTTGGGAGGCGGAGGCAGGTGGATCACGAGATACACGAGGTCAAGAGATGGAGACCATCATGACCAACACGGTGAAACTCTGTCTCTACTAATAATACAAAAATTAGCTGGGCTTGGTTGTGTGCACCTGTAGTCCCAGCTACTCGGGAGGCTGAAGCAGAATTGCTTGAGCCTGCGAGGCTGAAGTTGCATTGAGCCTAGATCACGCTACTGCACTCCAGCCTGGTGAATGAGTGAGACTCTGTCTAAAAGAAAAAAATAAATAAATAAATAAATAAATAAAATTAGAAAACCTTCATTTAACTCCTCATTCCCATAACCTACCATCTGATGTCTCTATCATCCACAGCTAAACATGGAAAAAGAAATGTCTGCTTGAGGATGCCAATTCTTCATCTCCGCCTCAATCCTGTACCCACTTCAATGTTATTTGCAGGCCCATTACCCCATCAACACAGCATTCACGGAAGTCATCAGTGAGTACCTATTGAGAAGACAAAAATGACATTTTCAGTTCTCATCTAATTTGAATTTCTCAACAGTATTCAATACTATTAACTACTCCCAATATTTTTCCATATTGTTCTCCATGACACAACACGTAATAGTCCCCTTAGTTTCTATTTTCCTGTCTATTGTAAAGACTTCCCCACATACACCCCCCTAAAAAAAGGTCAATGAAACGTCTAGCCTTCAAATCTCAACTCAAATCTGGCGTTCTGACTCCTCCCCAACTTGGAAAATATATAGTCCCGTTGGTTGTCTACCAGTTTCTTGTAGCCATAAGTTAGCTGACCCACCGTCCCTCAGACAGGTGAAGTTAAGCTCAGTATTTGTCATATCTTGATATACAGCCTAGCTACAAAGAGTTTGCCTAGGTACGAACATGGCTACGGGGGGGGGGAGGGGAGGGGGGCGTTGTTACGTCCTACGTCATCACGTGCTGGGATGAGGGTGGGGCCCTCAAGGAAGATAGAATGGAATCCAGTGGGCGGGGGCAAGAGGACGGGGCGGGGCTACGCAGGATCTGGGCGGGGCGGGGCCGGTGAGGGGTCGGGGGCGCTTCTGCTATTCAGCCGGTGCGCGCGGCGGCGGGAGGCAGCGGCGGGCTAGTCCCCTTGACGCTCTGTTCCGAGCGTACCCTGGACCGCCAGCTCAGACCAGGGGCAGCCGTGTAGCTGAACGGAAGCTGGAGGCAGCGGGGACTGGTGCCCGGCGCCGGAGCTCCGCGGGCGGGAAGCACCCAGGATTTGGGAAGTCCCGGGAGCAGTGCGGCGGCGCCTCCTTCACCCAAGGGGCCGCGGCGACGGTCACGGGGCGCGGCGCCCCCGTGCGCGACCCAGGCCAGGATTCTGAATAGCCCAGGCTCCTCCTCCTCCCGGGTCGCCTCACCTGCGGGCATTGCCGCGCCGCCTCCGCCGGTGGAGACGGCACCTGCGCCGCCTCGCTCGTGGGTCTCCGCCCCTCGCCACCCCTCACGGCGCCAGGCCCGGGCAGCTCACCTGGACTGGCGCGGAGTGCGGGAGCCGGGTCGCTGAAGCGCGGTGCCCACGCCGCTGTCCGGAGAGGACGCAGGTGGAGCGGGCACAACTCCGCGGAACCCGGCGCCGGCCTCCGCCGTCGACCCAGCCGACACCGAGTCCCGGGGACCCGGCTGCCCCTGCCCGAGGAGGAGCCGCCGCCGCCGCCGGCTGGGCACCATGAACAACAGCAGCGCCAACATCACCTACGCCAGTCGCAAGCGGCGGAAGCCGGTGCAGAAAACGTGAGTGTCCGGAGCGCGTTCTCATCGCGGGGGCTGGGCGCTCTGGCACGCGGGCGCGGGAGGCAGCCCCACCCCGCCCCCAAATCCCTGCGATCCTGGGGATTAGGTCCATTCCCGGCATTGCCCGTGGAGTCGCGGTTTGAAGGCCGGTCGGGAGACCGAGGACTTGGATTCTCCAGTTTTCAATGATTGCATTTAAAAAATTGTCCTCCCACTCATCATCGGCCCCCGCGCCAGTGCACACGCACCCTCTCACATTTGCAACTTTTTCTCTCTTCTTTAGTCCTAGTTTGTTGACAGCTCTCATCTGCCTTGTGCTGGTGGATTACTTAGTATAAACCTGTCGATATCTCCTTCCACTTTTAATACCCGCATGGGTTAAGTTAGAGGACCGTCTTAGTTCTCCTTCTTGGTAGAGTTTGGTAGTGCGAGATGTTTTAAAGAGCAAAACACGTGCCGAATTTTTGCAAAGGGGCAGAGTGCCTCTAAAGGTACTTTTTGGTCCCCATCAACTGGCTTTCTGTTGCGCTCTTATTTACTTATTTGGCAGCAATTTTGTAGCGCTCATTGTGACTGTATCGGTAAAGTAGATAGAAATGGTAGCAGGTGGGAGTGGATGCAATGGACAGGATACGGTAGAGGATTTGTGATCTTCAGACGCCTTTTGGGGAAGCTTGCTTATCACCTTTGGGGTGGCCTTAGGATCTGTAAAATAAAAGATATAGAACTATATTTGAGAGAGGTTTTCATTCTTAACATCTATCTCTAGTTCTTTTTCCCTTCGAAGTTTTGTTACTTCTAATAGAGTGAGTACAAACTTGCTTATGTCGTCGGTTGATTTTGGTGGGATATTTGTGTGAGATGCCAAATACTTTAATTTTTTTTTTTTTTCAGAGAAAAACTAGCCGTGCTTGAAATATTTCCTTCTGTAAGGTGGTTGTATTCGTGTGTTTATTCCAATTTTTTTATTTCTAATTTTATCTGAGTTACTTTACATATTTTTCAAGTTTCCATAAACAATTTTAGGAACTCTTAAACGTCTTCTCAGACCAAATTAGAAGTGTGTATTTTCCTTAGATTTTAACTATCACTAATGGGAACCAGAAAAATAACAGTTTAAGATTTACGTGTAAAACCAATTATTGGTTTAAAGTTTCATTCTAGAATTCAACTTCCTTTCAGAATTTCAGTTATCATAGTTCTTCAGAACTACACATATAAATTGGCATTGAGAAGATAATTATAAATAGACTGATTAAAATTTGGAAGTTTTATGGTATAGTGTGTCTTAAGGGAATATTGTCAAACTAGGAGTTTTCTACCTTGGCAGTTTGAGTTACTGGTTTATAATAATTTTTATTTTGTAGAATGGTTTCTTAAAGTATGTTTGTTTGAAGGACAATTTGACATTGTCCTTGATGGTTCAAGTTGGGAGGCATCCCAAATGCCTGTTCTATGTATTTATTAATACACTCAGGATCATGTATGATAGCTATATTAATGGGTTTTATGTGTATTGTCAGAAAACGGGAAGATCTCCCTGATGTGTTTTTAAGATACCGGGTTCCAGTTAGGGTATTATAAAAGGACTTGGATGGCTTTGAAAACAAAAACAAATGCCATAATTTTGTACAGTTTAACAACATTTATGGATTCTAATTTATATGTTAATGTTTTAATGTATTACATTTTTCTTTTGCATAAAATGTACCTTTTATTAGATATTCTAATATTTTAATACACTTTCTCAGTCTTTAATGTACTTGTATTTAATAATTTCCTATAACAAAAGTGTTTTCCTCATTCACCCAGGTTTTATTTTGTTAGCGTAGATGTTTATCTGATCTCTGCTGAGCACTGTACATTGCTTCTCATCATACAGATGCCTTAAATATCACCAGCTTGTTTTGGCGTTTTCATTGTCAAGTGAAAGTGTTTATATAAATTATATTTACCTGAATGAAAAATGGTTAATTTTATAATGCAGTTAATCAAAGTTTATTTTAGGAATGAAGTCATTAAACCTGATATTAAATTTAGTATTAGTATTAAAATTAAATTACCAGTTTGTGGCCTAATTAGGCCCCAAATATGCCAACATTGGGGAAAATAGATGTTGTTTTGAGCTGAAAATGCTATCCAGACCTACTAAACCTCCACCTCTTAATGAGAGCCACTTTCTTTTATTTACAGATAAAATATACTGTAGCATAATATAGGATTGTTTAAAAAGACAGCCATGTAAATATTAACTTTATGAAATATATATGTTCAGCAAAATTTTGGAGTAAAGTAGGTGACACTTGTAACCTGAAGCTCCTTCAATCTTGAATTGAATTTATTAAGAAAAATTAACTCCCCCTAGTGGCGAGTCTCACATTGAAAATTATTAGTAGGAAATACATTTTAAATATGTTCAATTTAATTCCACTGAAATATCTTGAACATAGTAGACTCTCAGTAAATGTTTCCTTTCTTTTTGGAGCAATAAAAGTTGGGAAATTAAAGGCACTGAAGCAGCTTTACAACCAATTCATGTCCTATCTCAAGAAGAAAATATCAAAGATAAGTTTCATTATAGGATCTACGATAACTTTCCTTAGACTGTTGCCCCATACTTAGTAACACTACTCAGAAAAAGAGAACAAATCCTGTGTTTATTTTATTCTCTTTGGAAATGAAAGTGTTTGTTTAGTTATTTTGTCTCATGAAGATAGTCAAAAAGATCATTATAGAACTAAACAGAATGTTTTTCCCTAGTGATAACTTTGGACATAGTTTTGTATTTTTAAGATTTTACTGATAAAGACAAAGTTGTAATGGATTTCAGCTTATCTATGTGTAGCAAGTTAGCGCTGAATGTTGGCAAATAATAGGTGTTGAATAAAGGGCATCTGCACTTTAAAATGATACCAGCAGCAGTGGTGATTAAGCCACCCATCATGAAGTGTCAGAACTGGAAGTAACTTCTGTGCTTAGCTGATCCTTCTTTAAAATGCATACCAATAAAAGCTTTTACATTTATTAACATGTTAATAATAATATATAAAAGCATTGTCTATATTGCTATTTTTTAATGTCATGAATTTCATATATATAATACTAAATTTTGTTACTTACATAATACTCATTAAATGTTTCATATAAATGTATGATGCCATTTTAAAAATGGCGTCTAAAATATCTTTTCATTTACACAGTTATTTCTCCATCATCACTTTTCTTTCAAATAGCTTGATTTAGGTAGCATGTACATAGTAGTTATGGACACCTGCTCATTGGAACTATGAAATGAAGTAAGTGAAAGTGTTTAGTTATAGGTAACATTAAATGGCAAAAAGAGAAAACAGGTATAAATTGAAAGCACTGAATCTAAACTAAAAAAAATGAGGTCTAGTTCTTCACTATCTGGGAAATTTCTTGACCAATAAAGCAGGACCGTCAGCACCTATACTGCTACTCTCACAGCTAAAACTAACAGAAAAAAAAAAATTATAAACTGTGAAGACTGCTAAAGATATAAATGAAACAGAAACATAAATTCAATTCTTTGAATAATTTTAGCTTACATTATCACAGAACAATCAATTCTCCCATGAAACAGCAAGAGGCAGTATACGATTATGTTCTCAATTACGGCTACAGCTGAAATGTACTACCTCACTGGTGAATAAATTTACATAGTACATGCTTACTCATGTAGTTAATTAAAACAGTTACTTGGAAGTAAATGCCATACAAATCTTTTACAGGAGTACCTTTCTACTTCCACACTTCTTTTAAAATAGATATTTTGCTAGTGGTTTAATATAACAAAAAACAACTGTTTATTAGCACTTATTCTGAGACCAGTATGCATAGTTCTTTATATCATTTTCTTCATTTTTATAATAGTACTAAAGAAAGACAGTATTATTTAAGTTTATAGATAGGGAGCTGAGGTTCAAATTCAAAGTTGTTCAGGTAATGAAAAAGTGATGGATATTGGACCTTAGATCTGGTGACTTCAAAGCTTATGTTCTTACTGACTTCACAGTACTGTCCAGGTGAATAGGTTGGGAGATGAATACAGTGCAACCATATCCTAGGGCTTTTCTATTGTCCACTGTTTCTTCTCAAATAGTGTTATGGCTGAAATAAATTCTTATCATTTCCCATACATGATTTGTACTTGCTCATCTTCATACTTCTGTTTTATGTTCTTTCCTCTTAGAGTCTTTCCTCCTCTCTTGTTGATTTACTACTTACCTTCCTTCCTCTTGAAAACATTGTTTTTAATGGCTGCATAATACTCTGTTGTGCTAATACTCTATGATTTATTTAACTGTTTTCCTTTTGGGAGGAAATTTTATTCCCAACCATTTAATATTTTAACTAGTGTTTCAGATAATACCCTTGGGACATGTAAATTTTTATGCAAATTAATTTTCTTAGAAAAAATTCCTGTAAGGGAATCTGGAGATAGAAAAGTATGTATTATTTTAAGATTGAGCCAAGGGTTACACTCCAAGAGATAGTGTCAAATGAAGAAAATTTTGCTAATTACATTCCCAACATCAGTCTGGGGATGTGACTATATCATTGCAGTTTTGCTTAAAAATATTATTGTCAATTTCATAGGCAAAAAAAAAAAAGTGTGGTTGGTAATTAAAGTTATATGTTGGGATCGTGGTTGCGTATAAGAGAAGTACTTGCAGATTTTCCACTTAGGGTGTCATTTACATATTCGTTTGTTTTGTCGTATATTTTTCAGTCTTTTATTTCTTTTTACTTCTTTCTATTGAAATATTGTTTTAAAATGTATTTCTATTAAATAATACTGGCAGATTTAAAAAGTCAGTTACTGTATATATGTGGTGCGTCTTAAGTATAGCATGTTAGGCCCTATCTTTTGATGTCTTACTGTGGTAGTTAGGGATTTTAGTGCTGTGTGTCTCTCCTTAACCTTTTTCACCTTCCTCCATCCTCCCTCTGTATTTTATCACAATTTCGGATTATAT